CAATTCTTCATCAGCAACACCAGGTAATTATGAAAAGTCCCTTCATCGGCCCTTTAGGACAGGGTTACACCGTTTCTAGGAGCTGCAGAGGCCAGAGGCAGCACTGTGTCCCCCTGTCCAGAGGGCACACCCTTGTGAGGAACTGCAGGGAGTTGTTGCTGTGGTTCTTTGGAGCATGGTCAGGGAAGGAGGTAGGGACTTGTCCTCTCTGGTCAGACCGCAAGCCATATCTTCAGTTGGACATCTTTGCCATGCTGGCACAGATGCTGCTGGACTGCTTCTGCCTAGTACTGCAGAGCAGGCCATCATGGGGAGCACAATCACGGGCTGCTGGGTGTCCTTGCCAGCTCTGTCAGCTGGTACGGGCCATGCAGAACATGATGCACTTTGAAGGGGGAGAATCTTTGGTCTGGGGAGGTATGCATGTGTTGGTGACTGAGCTGGCTATGACCAGTGAGTGTAGCAGAGCTTGAGAAAATGCCATGTACTTCTGGGTTTCATGCTCAAGACCTGACGTTGGAGGGAAGTGAGAATGGGCGAGTAAGTCTGAAGAGATATCAGTGCTATGGGCAACCTATTGGCAGACTGCTGTACAATGACATGCACAGCCACTCCATACCCAGTGGGTCCCCAAGACCTGTGTTCCATGCAATCCTAATTAGTGATACTACATCTCTTATTTCCCCCTCATCAGAAAGCTCATCTGCGACAACTGTGGAAACTTCTCCCACATCTGAAACACCACCAACAGGTAAGGATGGACAGTCCATCCAGGAGTGCGTAGATGAGGACTGTTTTGTGTTTTCCAGAGCAAGGAGCTCCAGAGCCCACAGAGGCAGTGGTGTGTTCCCCTGCCCGGGTAGAGATGGATGGGAGTTCTCCCAACAGCTGCCCAGTACCTGAAAGGACTGTGGTTGTCGCAGAGACTCCCATCAGTAATCTCGGGAGGAAGATGTGCTCTCGCAGGGCTAAAGTGCATGCAGGGAATGCATCACTGGTGGGTGCCCTCATCCTGCTCTGTCAGACAGCACTGACTGCTCAGAGCTGCCAGGCTAAATGTGGGGAGCTGTTCTGCAGGGAGAGACGTGTGCCACTGAGTGGAGCTGATGTGGCCAGTGAATGCAGCTGAGCAGGGTGGGGAGCAGTGCCTCTGTGGGGAAGGTGCCCGAGCTCAGGGATCTGCTGGAGGGAACCCAGACCCCATTGCAGTACAGAGGCAGCCAGACCACGGACAGCCCACAGGCTGTGCAAGGCTTCTCTTTCCTGGCCCACTCAACCCCACACCGATGTCCTCCTCATTGAATCCGAGGTGCTCCTGAACACACAGTTGTGCCCCAAGGGTTTTCTTTCACACAACACTAAGCATGGCTACCATGTCTCTTCTTTTCCCTTCCTCAGCTACCACACCTGCAACAACTGGGAGCAGTTCTACCATCACTACAGTACTAACAACAGATGGTAAGGATGGGAAAGCCCACTGGTGCACCCTTAGGAGGGAGTTACTCGGTTCCTGGCATTGCACAGAGAGAACCTGTGGTAAAAGCTTAGTGAAGAATTGCAGGGAGTTGTTGCTGTGGTTCCTTGGAGCAAAGCACTGCAGGGCTGCCCAGGGCTGGTCCACTGGGCCACGCACAGCTCCACTCCATATCTTGGTGTCCTTCGGTCACGCACAGCTCCACTCCATATCTAATCTGAGGTTGTCCTGAAAACAAAATGGTTCCTTAAGAGATTTCCTGCCCCCAACACAAAGTATTGCTCTCATGTCTCTCTCCGTCTTCAGGAAACGTATCGACAACAACTGAGAACACTACTGCCGACAATTCTTCATCAGCAACACCAGGTAATTATGAAAAGTCCCTTCATCAGCCCTTTACGAGAGGGTTAGACCATTTCTAGGAACGGCAGAGGCCAGAGGCAGCACTGTGTCCCCCTGTCCAGAGGGCATGCCCTTGGAGGAACTGCAGGGAGTTGTTGCTGTGGTTCTTTGGAGCATGGTCAGGGAAGGAGGTAGGGACTTGTCCTCCCTGGTCAGGCCCCATGCCATGTCTTTTTAGTATGTATATGCAGTTACAGATGTAGGTGTTGTGGACTACTTCTACATAGTACTGCAGAGCAGGCCATCATCAGGAGCTGGGTGATCTTGCCAGCTCTGTCAGCTGGTACTGGCCATGCAGAACATCATGCACTCTGAAGGAGTAGAATTGAGTGCAGCTGAGCTGAACGGGATGCTGTCCCTTTGTTTGGATGGTGTCTGAGCTCAAGGATCTGTGGAAAGGGTTCCACAACCTTTTTCAGTACAGAGGCAGAAAGGCATGGATAGCTCAAACGATGTGCAAGATTTCCCTGAGCTGGTCCATTCAACCCCATGCCCATGTCCTCCTTATTGAATCTGAGGTGCTCCTGAAAACACTGTGGATCTCCAAGAGTTGTATTGAAGAAGTGCAGGCGTGTTAATGCTGTGGTTCATGGAGCAAGGTAGTGCATGGTTGCCTGTGGCTGATCTATTGGGCCACACTCAAGTCAACTCTTTATCTAATTGAGATTGTCCTGAAAACAAAATGGTTCCTGAAGGGATTTCCTGCCCATAACATGGAATAGTCCTACCATGTCTGTTTTTTTCCTTTCATCAGGACATACATCTACAACAACTTGGGAAACTTCTACCACTTCTGCAACTCCAACACTGGGTAAGGATGTGTATGTTGGTGACCTGGCCCAGTTTGCCCTGCGAGTGCAACTAAAATTGGTAGTAATGTGCTATCCTTGTGGGGAAATGTAAAAGTCCCGGGTTTTGCTGAATAGAAACCACAGACGTGCTAGGCTGGAGTCCAGGCTCAGGAGAGTTCTTGGGCAGTGCTGGTTTGCACGCTGCCACATACTTGATCCCTCCTTTTCTGCCTTGGCCTGATGTGGCTAGCGATTGCATCTGAGCAGTGAGTAGTGCTGTTGCATTTGCCCTCTTCAAAGCATCCTGGTAGTTTCCTTTAGAATGAGACCTGTACTGTTTAATGGCCTGCATCTGCTGACTATTGCAGTTTTGTACAAATTCTGACATCAACATCTTTGATCTTTGTATCAGAGGAGTTATGCAAACCCAGTTCTTGTGGAAGCAGATTGTCTACATGTGTCTCTCTGAATACCACATATATATGCCAGTGCCCGTATGGATTCTACTACTACAGCAAAAATTGTTACGCAGGTGAGTTGCAGGATGGTAATCTGTATTTTTTGGTATTTCACAGATAACTGCTTTGGTGAAATTTTCTTCCTGTGTGACTTTTTCTGATGTTATAACCGAAAACATAATCAGTCTGGGAAAGTAACTGCTGAATAATGCCTTACTTTGCAGACAGCCACTGCTACAATGACCTAGATTGTTATCTCACAAACAGGTAACAATCAAAGAGGTTAATGTGCAAGGAAAAGAAGCAGGCATTCTGGAGATTAAAATACGTGAAAAGTGGGAAAGAAATGAAAATGTAGCCCTGATATCAGTATTTATGGCCAAGATTTATAAAAGCCCAAGCCTCTGCAGACCTCCAAATAGCTGGCTTGATTTTTCGTCTTTCTAAACATCCCTCAGCGTCCTGTTGAAACGCAACTGAGATGCTGTTAAGTGCAAGCACATGAGCAAATGAGGCTTCTTATGTAAAAGCCAGCAGGCAGGATTTCCAAATTTACTTGTGAGCCTAAAGAAGGAGATAGATCCTGAATTGCCTTTTTAAATATGGTGAACCATGTTAGCTGCTTAGTGGCTGTGGCTGCAGGTTTCAAGTCTTTAATGTACGTATCTGACTTGCTAAAAGCCATAACACCTCAGAGTGTTTTGTTAGCTTTGGGCCATGCTTATAGTTTAATACAATTCAATTTTGAAGTCCTGCCAGTTTGAAACAGGTTGCTCAGAGAGGTGGTAGATGCCCTATCCTTTGTGATGTTCAAGGTTTGGTTGGACTGGGCTCTGAGCACATGGTTGAGTTGTAGGTGTCCCTCTTCACTGCAGTGAGTTGGACCAGATGGCTTTAATGGTCCCTTCCAACTCCAATGATTCTATGGTCGAGACCAGGATCCTGCTTACTTCTCAGGGGGCCAGAGTACGTATCAAAATGTTGCTGAACTGATTGAGCAAACATTTGTTCCATAGCAGTTCCTCTGTGAACATATGAAAAACTGCAAATATTGATTTCTGCACTGTATTTCTTAATCTCTGAAGGCTGGAAAATCCTAAGATGAAATCCAAATTATTGAATGCTTTCTAATTAATATTTATTTATTTATTTATTTATTTATTTATTATTTGCAGGGAAGGTATTCCCAGGTATCATTACACTGGCACAAACATTGAGTAGTGATATTGGTGATGTAAATTCAATGGAGTATGAAAAGATGTTCCAAAACATAACACAATTTGTAAGTGACTTTATTTTTTAAACTTTTCTGCGTATTTAATGTTTTTCTGAATGTTGTACAGACAGAGGGAATACAAGCAGCCTTTAATGTGGAGCCTAAGGTAGTTCTCCTTGATAAATTTTCTTTCAAAGAATATTTCACACTGGCTTAGGCTTATTCATGAAATAGTTAAATTTTGCCCTCAGATAACTCCAGGTATGGTTCTTGTTGAAGTAAAGGGATGTACCTGAGGTCAAGCAATACCTGCGTTTTCAGTGCCATTTCTCTTGGGAAGCCCTCATATAAATTGTTCTGTATCTTTAGCAATTCACTCTCCAGAAACCACTGGGTGAAGCAAAGTTTTTCAAACTGTTTAGTTTCTGTTATCTGCTGTTAAATACCTAAGTGATAACCCTTTCTATAAGCAAAACAGTATTAATTAACAGAATTACATTAATGAAATGGATATTACACATGTTGAGGATTCTATGATTATAGATAAGTTCTTGCAGGAGGTTTCCTGGAGAAGTAGGATGAACTGTTTAACTCACACTGCTCTGCTGATATGAGGTCGTTTTTTCAAATTAAGAAAGAAGAGGTGTGCACCTCTGCCAGGGAGCTGATGATATTCATTTATCTTTTATAGTTTAAAGAAGCTTTTGCAAATATGACTGACTACATGCAGACCATCATCGTGAAAGTTAAGTAAGTTTGTCACTTACCAAGTGTTTTTTCCACAGTATGTGAAGTTTGCTTTGTGTGCTTCCATTTATTTAGCTGCCAGTGGATTACTTTGGCAAAGAAAAGATATGGGTTGGACTGAGTGCTGTCTGATTCCCATTAAATGAGGCCATTCATTTGGTATTTTTAAAATTCCTGCCCCACTTTTTACCCTATAGATTTCCAATAGGTGTGTGCAGTGGGCTGGCTGAGACAGTTCCACAGAGGATCTTCCACTTTTAACACTACATAGAATACAGCACTGTGCCAATAACTGCACAGTTTGTCCCTGTATTATCTGGCCCTTCTGACTTCATTGCAGACATACCATGAATTATCCTCCCCGTGTTTCAGGATGAGTTCTCCAAGTATGTTCTGAATGACACCACAGGCTGATAAGACCATGCAAAACTTGGGATCTAGTGGATGAAGTCCTCCACACTGCAAATGCTTTGAGGCTAACCCAGTATAAAAACATTAATTTCAGCCCAACAACACACCAAGGAGCTATGTTGTTATCATTAAATTCAGCAGCTTTTACTTACATGAGTCTCTTTTACATTTGGATGTAAAGGAGGATGGCCACTAATGGATTCATGAGCAAGGACTGAACTCATTTTCAGGTGTCTTAGCAACTACCCACATTATGGGATGAGAGAAAGAAATCTGCTGTTGTCTTTGCGTGTAATTTGCTATCCATATGTGCTGTATGAGACTTTAAAATGATGCTTTCTGTACTTCTCAGTTATACAGCAGATGATACAAGCACCAGAAGTGTTAATAATCCAGTGACTGTAACAGTGATGAACATCTTCACAGCTAACACAACTGAGACTGATGCTAAAGTTGAGAAAGCAATAGAGACAGCAGCAGGAAATTTGAACTACGTGAGTGGCTACACAAGTACGTAATTCCTAACTGTGGACGTAAGGTAGACACAGAGGTTCCTATCTTAAAAATTGGTAACAACACTTCTGTATGCAGCAAAGCCCATCAGAGCGTAAGTTTCGTGGATTTTAAGGAGCTAAGCATCCAAACTTAAGTGATGTTGTAGACTCAAACATCCAGTGCTGGGCTTTTTAGTCTTACCAAAGCTTTCTACCCCCTGTGTGGGCATGTGGAGAAAATTAGTTATTCCTAAATAAGCAATTTCATGTTGACTGTAGCTTGCTGAGCACTAAGTTTCTGGAAAATAAAAACCGGACAAAATATTCACAGACATAGATTTTACTTCTCAGAATAAGCCAATGTTTTGTTGTTGGAACAGGATGAAAATTTTTTTAGACATTCTTCTGTAGTTAATTGAATTGAGCCTTTATTGATAAGCTACTCAACTAGATGATGCTAAAACAATATCTTTCACTACAAAGAAGTGTAGTACTTGGAGAACATTTTTGTAAATGCATAGTTTTTCACGTCTTCCATTGTCTAACATGCTCCTATTTTAAAGTAGCCTTCACAAAAGGCATAGCTAATAATTAAATGAGTGCAGTTCATGGTGTCTAGCTGGAGTTTGGACTCCAAGGTGACTGTATCCACCTGAGCCACGACATTTCATGTATCCCAAGCATGAGGGAGAATGAGAAGCACCTGACAACTCACAAAGCACCAGCACTCCACTGTGTACCCACTGATTTTATATATATATATATATATACACACTTTTAAGGCAAGTCAGAAAAGTATTGCTCCAAATGTGAGCTTGTGGGTAGAATTTCTCTTCCCGGAGGACAGG